AGAGAGAATGAAATTTTTAATATTTATTTTTTAGTTTTTGGTGGACACAACATCTTTATTTTATTTGTTTGTGGTGCTGAGGATCGAACTCAGCGCTCCACGCATGCCAGGAGAGCGCGCTACTGCTTGAGCCACATCCCCAGCCCCATTGCCATTATTTAATATTTGTGTTTTTACTAACAGCCATTAAGACATATGTGTCTTTTTCTAGATTATCAAATCTTTTGGGATTTAATTAATTGTTCACATAATTTCCTATGATCTTTTGTATTTTTCTGCCATGAGAGTTTTAGTTGTCTCCTCTCATTTCTGATTTTGAGAGCCTTCTTTTTTTCCCCTTAGTCTAGCTAAGGGCCTGTTGATTTTATCTTTATAAAAAAAATTCTTGGTTGTGTTGATTTTTCTTTTTATTTCATTTTATTTATTTTTTGGGGGGGAGCACTGGGGATTAAACTCAGGGGTACTTGACCACTGAGCCACATCCTCAGCTCTATTTTTATTTAGAGACAGGGTCTCACTGAGTTGCTAAGCACCTCATTTTATTTAGAGACAGGGTTTTACTGAGTTGCTGAGCACCTCATTTTTGCTGAGGCTGGCTTTGAACTCATGATCCTCCTGCCTCAGCCTCCTGGGTCCCTGGGATTACAGGGGTGTACCACCATGCCTGGCTTGATTTTTTTCTTTTTCAAGTCTCTATTCCATGTAATTTCTGTTCCAATGCTTATTTTCTTCCTTCTGTTAACTTAGGCTTGATTTATTCTTCTTTTCCTAGTTCCTTGAGGTGTAACATTAGGTTATTAATTCCTTTGCTGCATCTTGTATATTCTGGTATGTTGTGTTTCCATTTTCTTTTGTCTTAAAAGATTTTTTGTTTTCCTTTTGATTTCCACTTTGACCCCTGGTTTATTCAAAGGCAGATTGTTTAATTTACACATATCTGTGAATATTTTCACTATTACTGATTTTTAGTTTCACAAAACTAGGATCAGAAAAGGTATTTCTTATGTCTTTGATCCTCTTAAACTTGTTCAGACCTGCTTTGTGAATAACATAGGATCTGTCCAGGAAGATTGGTCCATTTATGTTTGAGAAGAATTAGTTTTCTGTGGGTGTTGGATAGACTGTTCTATATGTCTACAAGATCTATTTGGTCTGAAGTATAGTTCAAGGCCACGGTTTCCTTATTCATTTTCTGTCTGAATTATATGTTCATTGTTGAAGGTGGGGTATTTAAGTCTCTTACTACTGTTGTATTTTAATCTCTCTCTTCAGATCCTTTAGTATTTATTTTATATATTTAGGTACTCTGATATTGGGTTTATATATGTTTTAAATACTATATATACTTGATGAGCTGACTCCTTTGTCAGTACATAATGGTCTTGCTTTATTTTATAGTTTTTTATTTAAAATCCACTTTGTCTGTTATAAATACAGCTACCCCTCCTCTTTTTTGGTTTCTATCCCTTCACTCTCAAGTTATGTGTGACCTTAAAGGTGACATGATTCTCCTATTTAGGTGACATAGAATTGGTCTTTCATATCTTCTTCTTCTTCTTTTTTTTTTTTTTTAGTACTGAGGATTTAACCCACGGGTATTCAACCACTGAGCCACATCCCCAGCCCTTTTGAATATTTTATGTATTAAATATAAAATTTTTAAAATATTTTATATATTAAATATAAAAAATTTTAATATTTTATATATTAAAATATAAAAAAATTCTTGCTGAATTGCTAAGTGCCTTGCTAAGTTGCTAAGGCTGGCTTTGAACTCACAATCCTCCTGCGTTAGCCTCCCAAGCTGCTGGGATTACAGGTGCCACTGTGCCTGGCTCAAATCTTCTTAAGCTAAATCTTCTATTCTGAAGGACTTTCTCAAGAGTTCTGGTTTAGTCAGTTGCAATTATTTCCTTGAGCAGTAGCAAATAAAATATTAAGAATTTCACACCCATCTGTCAATACAAGTAAAATACATATTATAAAGTCCCATTGTGGATTAGATGCTTGATTTAAATTTACTAGAATACAAACTTGCTTGGCTATTGCTAGAGGTTCTCCACTGATAAAATATAGTAATGAATTGTATAGAAGCTTAAGTATCTTTTTTGCTTGTTTTTGTTATGTTTGTGGTACTGGGGATTGAATCTAGGGGCACTCTTACTAGTGGCCATGTCCCTAGACCTTTTTAGTGTTTATGTTGAGGTGGTCTAAGTTACTGAAGCTGACCTTGAACTTATGATCCTCCTGACTGAGTTTCCAAAGTAGCTGGTTTCAAGTATGTACCACTTCACCCAGCTAAGCAACTTTATAAAGATAGGTTACATACAGAAGTTGATGGTACAAGAATTAAACATATGCATAACTGAGAAGCAGCAGATTGTAATCTTTATGTGATGCCTTGTGTGTATGTTCTTCCCTCCTGAAAGGGGCTCATCCATCACTTCAAGGACCTAGGTTCCTCCTCTTCCGGCCTTCCTTCTTCCACTCAAACTGTAAATCTGGCAAGTGTCATTTTACATTAAATGTGACTAGAAAGTCTGAGGAAGGGAAATCAATCTTGAATGGGCTGGCAAGAACCTGCCCGCAAAGCTAAAGCAGGATTCAGATGAGCACAGTAGCACAGGGAGGACATTTTGTACAAGGAATATTATGGCTGGGTCAGGAGGTAATAAAGAGGCTGAAGTAGAGGGTATTTGTCAGAAGAAAGGAAAATGGCAAGAGTGAAAAGGGAAGGTGGTACAAACCACAAAAATCCTGAAGTGCCAAGTCAATCAGATAAACCCATCCTATTTTTCAACAGGAGGAGAGATATGAAAATAAGAAGAAAAATTTTAATCTGTTAATAATACAATGGAGGTTGGGAGCTAATAGAATTCTAAGAATGAGGCCTAGCTGGAAGGGGTGGAGTGAGTGAAAGAGGGGATGAAACCAAAGGCAGTAGCATCTAGTTAAATTTTTAATTAACAGTTTTACCCAGAAAAATCTTCTTGATGCATGGTGATGATTATGGCCTCTATTGCATCTCCCACTGAAGTCAGTAAAGGCTGCACTGCATTCCCCATAAGAGCATGAATTGTCTGAAAAGAGAAAAAAGAAAGAAGAGGCGAAATCAAAGAAATCAACACAAAGAAACTGAAATGTGAGAAACATTTTGACTAACAGTTTTCATATTCTATCGAATTTAGACTATACATAGTTTAACTCAACAGAAGTCTGCTCCTCTTCCTAATCCTGTCAGTAACAATTTTTAAAGCTTAAAATATGTGGAACATGGCACTGAAAAATTTCAACTCCTCCACTCTTCTCATTTTTTTTCAAAAGGCTGTGTGGGTAAATGAGCCCCTGGAGAAAGTAACACATGAAAGAAGGGGAAAATGGTTCCACTTATGAAGCAAAGAAAAAATGAACACTTTTTTTTTTCTCCAAAGAGGTAAAACCAAAAGTAATTCTTTAAAAACTGAAACATCATCATATGTTTTTAACCAGAATGACTATAATAAATACACTGGTAATTCTCACAGGGAAGAACACTTAGGCATTTCACAATTTGGTTTCTGCTGAGAGTTCTTTAGCAGTGATTCTCATCTGTGGGCAAATTTGCTCCCCCAGGGAACATTTGGATATGCTTGAAGACATTTTTGGTTGTCACAACCAGGAAGCGGAGAGAAATGTGCCATTAGCATCTAGTGGGAGAGGTCAGAGATATTGCTGAATATCCTACAGGACAGATCACAACAAAGAATTACCTTGCCTGAAATGTACATGTGGTGAAGGGTGAAAAACTTCCACAGAGAGGCATAATTACTGGTCAATTAATGCAAGACCCCAGGCCTTAGTCTCTGTGTACTAAGTTAATTATGGGGTTTTGGTGAGGAAATACTGACTGGGACCTAGTAAACACTCAGTAAATAGAACACTGAAGTACACTTTACATGCTTTAATGATGATTGCATATACTGAAGTTAAATAAAGGCTCTGGCTCATATATACATATAATTGAAATCAATGAAAAAAAGTTTTTAAAAAAGTACTCTTCTTTATTAAGTTCCAAGTGGCATCTGTAGCTTTTTATCCCTGGTGAAAATTAACACACTATGTACAGGAGTGAGTGAAATACCGTTTGCCCTCAAGGATCTACAGTCTAGTAACCACATATAAAAAAAAATTATAGTGATATAAAGACTTGGTACTGTGGGATCACAGAAGGACCTTCAACTTATGCTGACAAGATATGAAAAATAAAAAGTGTTCTTTGAACTGAATTTCAAAGAAGGATAATACTGGTAGCTCATCCATTAAAAGGCATAGAAACCCAGAGAAAGCTGACGCTTTAGGCAAACTGCAAAGCAGTTAGTACACAGAGACTATCAGTGTCAACCTATTTACAGGAGAAAGAAGCAATAACAGAGGTTCTCTGAGTAGGCTGCTCCGGAGTTAGGGATTCATCACAAAAGGATCAGGAGGCCAATAATGAGTTTTCAATGAAAAAATGTGGCTAAAGATTTAAATTTAGTAAAAAACACTTTTAAGCAGTATCACAGATAAATGAGACTACAGACAGAACAGTTATGAGGCCACATTAGTGAATGCTTGCAATTAGTGAGTAGTAGCAGGAATAGAGATGAGAAGACAACAGAACTTGGTAAATAGATCTGGAAGACAAGGAGTGAAAATATTAGAGAGTATACAATTTTTTCTTTAACTGTTCAGCAATATTATTAACTGAATGTGTAAATGCAGAAGCAGCAGAGAGAGAAAAAGATGAAGAGTTCAGTTTGGAACATAAATTTGAAGTGTCTATGGGAATCTACATGAGCTGTCAGGTAGGTACTAAGATATTTAAATTTGTACTTTTTGATACAATTTGATTGGATTTTTTAGTAACTGGTTTTTAAGATGTGAGAGGGACCCAAACAAGTCAATGAGATGCTGCAGAGATTAAGGCCAAATACCACTTTAAGGTCATGCAGAGGAAGAGGAGCCCTTAAAGGATTACTAAGGGTAAAACATTTATTGAGTATATATATGCTTCATGTAAAATAATTTTACTTATAACTAAATTATTCCTGTATCAAAAATTATTAAAATGTCCAACTTATAGATGAGGAATCCAAAATAGATAGGAAAACTAAAGTCAAGCTAAGGAGATTATTAAGGCATAAGTGAGCAAGATTATCTAGCTATATCAGACTTTTTTGAGCTTCTGGTTACTATTATGCACCTGAGCAGAGATGAGAAGAGACCCTGGAGTATGATAGAAATAAAAAGATGAAAAGATTTCAAGAAGGAAATCTATTTATGGTATGAAGGAGTGTCTAACTATAGATCCTTCTACAAATAACTACTGGAGAAAATGCCCAAAACAAAACAAAAACCTCCTGGAACGCTTTGGAGAGAGGAAAATGCAGGTAGTTTTAGAAAAGCATGGGATGAGGCAAGCAACCAGTACAGAGTGAGTTCTCCATATTTTGTGGCTTTGTTCTTACAGTGACTACAGTCATGGTGGAGTAGGGCTGAGTGGCTAAAACATGGGGGGTGGGGACTCCACACTATTTTTTTAGCCAAAGGAACAGGGGAAGGAAATCTAGGTCAATCAGGGCTGCAGAAATCAGAGAAATCTTGAAAAGGAAAAAGCCAGGAGAAAAATGCCTGATTCTATGTTTAAACTTAGCATTTGTCTTTAGCTGACTCATCAACCATGCGTGTTCAGAGGGAACCAAATGTAGCTTGCAACTAAGATTTAAAGAAGTGAACTGAGATTTGAGCCCTGGCCAGCAACAGGTATGACAGTTTACAATTTGATTACAATCAAGTTTATTGCTAAAGTAAAAATCAGCAACACTCTTTTAGAAGAAATATTTTTTTAAAAAACCCTCTTAGTCTATACAACATAACATCCACAATTTCCAGGATATATCAATCAAAATTTACTACATATATAAAAAGATAGGATTTTTTAAAAAATCAATTCTCAAGGGGAAAAAAGACAATCAACAGATGCCAAACCTGACATGACCCAGACTCTAGATTGTCAGGCAAGAACTTCAGTGAGTAAAAAAAAAAACATGCTCACTGTAAGTAAGCAAAATAATAGAAAATTTCAGTGATTCAAAATGTTTCATGAAAGATCCAAATGGGAATTTTCAACTATAAAATTGTACTCTCTGAAACACAAATGTTCACTGAGAAGGCTTAACAGAAGAAATGAGATAATAGAAAAAAAAAGTCAATGAACCTAAAGATAGAATCAAAAGAAATCTGGAGAAAAAACAACTGGAAAATAATTAAACTTGTAAAGTAATTGCAGAAGGTCTAATATATTGAAAACTAGAGTCACATAAGGAGAGAGAAACTTGAGGCAGAAAAATTATTCGGAGGGAAAAAAGGGCCCCAGACTTCCCAAAATAATAAAAAGCATGAATTTGCAAACAGAATGATTTCCAAGAGGACTATGCCTAAGCACATCATAAATAAAACCACTGAAAGTCAAAGAGAAAGGGGAGGGCTGGGGATATAGCTCAATTGGCAGAGTGCTTGCCTTGCATGCACAAGGCCCTGGGTTCAATCCCCAGCATAACAGGAAAAAAAAAAAAAAAAAAAAAAAAAAAAAACCTCGGCAGAGAGAAAGGTGAAATCTTAAAACAAGGGGAGAAAAAGGAGCTGACAGAAAGGAGTTGACAGATCATAAACAAAACAATTTTAAGGACTGATGACTTCTCCTCTGAAAGCTCCAGAAAACAGTGGAACAACATATTAAAGGTGTTGAAAGTAAAACAACTCTCAAACCTGTAAAAATATCCTCTGAAACTGAAAGTGAAATAAAAATATTTCTGCAAGAGAAAATAAAGGGGATTTGTTGGAAACAATAAAAACAAGTTGAAGAAAAATGATACTAGAAAGAAACTTCAAATCTTTAAAAATGAATGCAGAGCATTAAGTAAATGTAAAATATAGATTATAAACATTTTTCCTTTCATATTAAAAATACATATAATTTTGCCAGTCTTGGGATTTATGCCTATAATTCCAGTTATTTGAGAGGCTGTGGCAGGAGGATCACCAAGTTTGAGGCTAGCCTGGGCAATTTAGTGAGACCCTGTCTCAAAAAATAAAAAGAACTGGAGATATAGCTCAGAATTTGAGACCCCTGGGCTCATTCCCAGTATCATCAAACACACACACACACACAGACACACACAGACACACCCACCCACCACCACCATCACCACCACCACCACCACCAATAATGTATAATTTTTAAAAGCAAAAATTACACTATGCCTTAAGGGGTTTATAATGCACATAAATATAAATGTATTTCTATGATTTTTACATGACATAGTACAATAGTAACTCTAAAAAATTTGTAAAGAGTTAAGGGTGTATATGGTGATCCACAGAGGAAATACTAAATATAGAAAAATCATACAAAGAAGTATAAGTGAAACTTCAATAAATAAAAACAGAATTCTTTAAAAAAATCAGTCACCAAAAGAAGGCAGAAAAGGAGGAAAAGAGAGGGAGAAATTTAAAAAAAAATGGAGAAAGAAAAAGCAAATAAAACTATAAAACTAAATAAAATCTTGTTGATAATATTTTTATTGTGTTAATAGACTAAGTACAACAATTGAAGGGCAGAGATTATCAGAATAGACAAAAGAGGAAGGCCCAACTACATAGTGTCTATTAAGAGATGCACTTTAAAAATAAAAACACAGGGGCTCAGTGAGAGAGCGCTTGCCTAGCACATTGTGAGGCCCTGGGTTCAAGCCTCAGCACCACACGAAAAAAATAAATAAAGATATTGTGCCCATCTACAACAGAAAGAAAGGAAGGAAGGAAGGAAGGAAGGAAGGAAGGAAGGAAGGAAGGAAGGAAGGAAGGAAGGAAGGAAGGAAGGACTGAGCTATATATAGGTTCTGTCAGTGAAACAAAAAGGCATGGAAAGCAGGTATCAAGGCCAAAAAGAAAGAAAGAAAACTTTCTCAATTTGCATAACATAATGATTCACACAGAAAACTTTTTAGTTGGTTTCCCATTTAGGGAAATATTAAACTGGAAGAGAAGAGAGTATCTT